TTCTGCATGAAACGCTTTGTGGCTGTCTCACTGTCTCTAAAATGCCAAGGTCCGCGCCAAAGGACGCCTGTTGCAGCTGGTCATGTGCAGGAGCCCCAGATGCTGTGCGAGAACGACAGACAAGAAGTATATACACTTGTGAAAGCGGAATTTGCAATAAGTTATCGTCATCGTGCTGATCTTGAACACAAGATCAAAAGGAACAAAAAACGCCCCCAAAAAGTCCAACCACTGAAGTGTGTAGGATTTCATACATGAGATCCTGCGGACTCAAGCAATAACAAGTAGCCAGAGAGCTGGAGGTTAGCTACTCCCTTCGTTTGTATTCACAAAATGAATTTACGAAGAACTACAGTACTTGAGAGACATGTTGTTTTCACTTGTTTGATTTATCTCCAGACCAGGGGCTAGCTATGCTAGACCCATCTCAAATTGCGCTCCGGTACGACGAGTGCTGTTTCCGCGACAATCACTGCGAAGCTGGTGTTGGACAGGCCCAGGAGTGTTTCCAAACCGATCTGGGTTCCTAACTCTTCTGAAGCAAGATCCACAGACAGATATCACAGATCCTCCGAACTTGGCATGGCAGTGAAAGGGTCCTTTTTGTTACTGTAGAGTTCATGAATTGGACTTAGAACTGGGAGGTCCCTAAATCCTGCTCACCCACAATGGTGCCAGCTTGACCCCTAAAGCAGAACAACAAATGTTCAGTGTGCCTTGGTTGCAAACAGTCAGTCACCCAGCATGCCATGTTTGCTCCCCTGCATAGCTTTTGAAGACCTTTGCACAGGTTCCTGGATTCAGTTCAATGTGCAGATGTGTAACTAGATATAGCTCTAAATTCGTTCAAATCGCCACCTGCCTGGAGAACACTCGAAGTTTGACATGCAGCTGAATCACGATAACTATTTTGACATAATACAGAATCATTCAGTCAGTCAGTCCACAAGTTCAGAAGGCATCCCGCACATCGTGAGTCAGGGCTTGATGTCGTTTGTTCTTTGTCCATGCGACCGCTGCTGCTCCTGGTGTTTTAATCAGCGCTGAATGGATTCAGATTTGGATGCTGCTGCTGTCGTTGTTGGTCAATAGCACTCATTGTTTTCTCATGCCGTGGTTTGATGTTTGTTTAATAGTATTTTGCTCATTTAATTATATAGGTGTCGCCGCGGGTGGTTCTGTGAGCTTCCTCAAGATTCTTTGACATGTGGTCAAGGAAACATATTGTTTGAACAAGTGTTACCAGAACTGTTCAACTCTGAGGTCAGCATCATCAGAGACTACCATCCACGCCCCGTAGCGAGCTCAGACAAGATTCATCAACATTGTAGATATCATCAACAGTTCTTTGGGTTTGCAGGTGTACAGCACAGACTGGTCGCAACAAGACTTCTTGGCCTCTGCCTGCGGAGATGATCGGATCCGCATCTTCAGAGCAGAGGAGGGTGTGAGTGAGCAGTGGTCCAGAGCAGACATGGTTCAGGTAAGATGCTGGCACTTCTCACTACCTTTGCGCATCAACGCGGTACCCAAGTGCAAGATTGCTCAACGCACAGCCACAGAATACTGTACATGTAGAAAGCACAACTCCAATAGAAAGGTAGCCAGAAGATTCAATGATGTGTGGATCTTCACACTCTGTTGGTTGCTTTGCCGATCTATGACTATCAGAAGTGAGTCAGTAGGTTGACTGACTTGTCTTAGAATGGTGAGTCACCTTGATGTGGTGCCACTGCAACTTCACTGACTCCTCAAGATTGAAAATAGAACTGCACGAGAAATGGGAATCACTGGAAAGTAGACTTGGAAAGTCTAAAGCAACACGAGCAATACGGCCATGAGGTCACTACATTTCTGCATCTATCCAAGACCAAAGGTCATCCTCAAAGATGTCAAAGTATGCAGAAAGGGAAAACCCAAAAACCTTGCCAAAGGTTGCTGAGACTCATGCAACAAGAAGTGTATCAACTCTTTTGGGCACCAGGATGAATCCTTGCTTCACTGGGAATGTGTCGCCGATGCCTGAAGCTTGGGTTTTGGTTTGCCACAGCATTCGCTAAAGCAATTCTAGTTGATCTTTCATAAATTTGAAGAGCTTGTTCTTAGCATTCAGTAACAAGTGCATCGCTACTAGTAACACGTGCCTTACTAGTAGTAACTAATTAGAGAGGTCTTGGACAGAAGGAACGGTCTTAAGGGGGAGCAAAATGCTGTTCGTTGCTGAGCAGAGGTGTGATCACATGGCAAGGTTGTCTCATGCAAGACCCTTTGAGATGTTTGCTTCGTCTCTATTGGTTCCTTGGTGCCTTTGGGGATATTCTCTTTCAGGAGCTAGCCCACAATGGAGATGTGAACTGTGTTGCCTGGGGGCCTTCCCAGCCCGGGGCTCAGAGGGCGTGGAGCGGCTCCCTCAAACGGCTTCAGAAGAAATACTAAAATGACATGTCTAAAGTTTAAAGAGCAAACATATCATAAATACCGTATAGCAAATGAAGAAATCCTGCAATAGACTCAATAGGCTGTTGTCCCACTTCTCTTCGAGCCTGTCCTGGAAGGGGAGATGTTTAGACTGAAGAACAGCAATGTGCTGTTGAGCGTGTTTGCATGCTCGCTCATCAGCACAGCATTGATACTAATGCAGCTGCATGTTTTTCTTCCTGAACAATTGAGTGTTTTTACAATTCATAGTGGAGCCACTCCTATTTAAGGACGTTTTCCTGGGCAAGCTTGCAAAAGGTTTTTGCAGGAACTGATCTTGGGGCATTAGATCTCGAACAATTGATTGACGTTTGCTGAACATGCCAAACTTAGCAGTTCAAATCGCATATTTGCATGGTCTTTGCAAGTTCTGAGCATCACGTATCATGATGAAGAAAGTGCACTGGAAGTTGCCGAGGGGCAATCGCACTCTCCTGGCAAGCGTTGGACACCCAGTGTAGGTATGACATTGGACAGGTGTTTAGAGAAGTGCAAGAGATGCAACGTAATTGATCACAGAATAGCAGAGCATGAGGTATGTCCCCTCAACCATGGAAGGACCCAGCTAGCCAACCTAGTCTATGAACCTGTATCAAAAACGTAACAGTTGTCAAGAAAGCTGCACTACCAGGAGAGCACTCTGGGGAAAATTTTGGACCCTCTGAAATATGTTTATTTTTTTGTTATGGTTATACATTTAGTTGTTTGTTTTTTTGAACATATTTGTCAATTGGTCAGGCTTTCCTGCTGGATGCAATTGTTGTACAGCCATTTTTGGCAGTGCAGTTTTCTTGACAAATGTTGACTCAAAAGAACACAAATTTGCGAGAAAACTGCACTGCCAGGAGTGCCCGTTATGTTTATTTATATCACCGGTGACGGCTGCGGATCAAGGGCACCGTCATCGTTACCAACTGTTCTACTTATTTATATCACGTGTCAATTGTTGGCATCCTCAACGGTGGTTCTATTTTGTGAGTGTTTCAAACCGCGCACGAACCATGTCCAAGTGCCCCATGGGCACAATTGTTTGGTGGAACAACCAACCTCCTTTCTTTTGCGTTTTAATGTGGAATTGAAAGGCTAGAATCGGTTTGATGCATGATGTATGTGTCATACGGTATGCGTCAAGCATACATACATGAACAGAGACAAGTCAAGCTGCTTTGCCAGGATTGCGCCAATGGAAGAGCAAACCAGCAAATCCACCTTAGCACGTGTTCCACAGAACTATGCAACCTACAAACATGAGTTTTGCTGCGTTTTGGAGCCAAACGCGAGCTTTGCAACTAAAGGGGAGGCGTAGGAGCAAAGAAGCTACTAGGGGCTCCTGGCCTTCTTACGAGGAGCAAGGACGCTACTAGGAGCAAAGGGCATCGCGGCATCGCTACTAGGAACAAGAAGCTATTAGAAGCCAGGGATTCTTGAGCGTCCAGCAACGCCAAGGGTGGTGATGACGGGGCTGTGGTGTTGTGGGAGTTCAGCTGAAGCTCTCGGCGCAGAGGCTTCACGAGTTTGGCAAACATTTGGATAACAATGACTTGCTTTGGAGGCCATTGCTATTAGGTTGGAGGCCATTGCTTTGGATACGAGCAGTTAGTTTGTGATTGGTAGGCAAGTTGCATTGACAAACCGTTGGCAAACTCGTCACGTTTCATCAGACTTTGTTTTAGCGCTGCCAAAGCCATGACAGAAGCACCTCAACATCCATTTTCACAAAGAACAATTACTGTACAGGAAGGAACAAGTAGTGTTTGCATGGGTCGGACATATCTCCAAGTGATATGTGTTTTTGCGCTTTTTGCCTCCTTAAGAAATAAAGACTGGTCGTAGAGTCATAGAGGAAGCCCTCTACGAGGATCATAGAATCAACGCGTTTCTGCAAAGTTCCGCTTGGCCTCTGAACCTTTCTTCTTGCTCCACTCTACTTTGTGATCTTTGTGCAGAGTATTGAGAGCTCCGCACCATTGGTATGTTGCAAAGAGACCAAAGAAAGGGTCCACTACCATGTTCAAGGATACTGCAACAGTTGGATATTGACAGGTGTGGCTGTCAGGCATTTAGCTTGCAGCTGAGACCCGACCATTTTGACCAAAAAGACTTTGGCGCTGTATCTCTTTTTTAGCCCGTGGCCCTGCCTCCTTACTGGATTAAGTACTGTAGGCACCTACTGAGTTAAGTAAGGACTACTGGCTGCTGCTACTAACTACTGGACACAGGATAGCTAACGCTATTCATGTGGTTCCTATATTTTTAGGAAAACAAATCAGTCGCGAGATGTTTCGATTTTGTTCAATCCAAGGAGACCTCAATGAGCTTCTCACAGGACACTATGTTTCAATGTGTGATTTGCTGATGCCCGAATTCGCCTGATACTGTTTTGAGCTTTTGAAGTGTATGATGTATGATAGTCATTTCACACGAGAGTTGCTCCAAGCCACTTTAGACTTGAAATCTAGCAAGAAGACACAAGCATGAACGGGTTCCTGATGCGCTTCACAAAAGATTATCATGAAAAAGCCTTCTTCCCCTTTTGAGACAAGAACGCTTAGTCATGACACGCCACTGGCTGCATGGCGCTACGCTGTTGCTCTTCACGATTCCACCGGTGGCATGGGCGTGGTGGGACAACGGCCACATGCTCACGGCATCCCGGCATAAATCAGGTTGGAGGCCATCGCTTTTTGGGGGAGGCCATCGCTATTAGATTCCTTTTGCTATTAGGTTGGAGGCCGTCGCAAGTAGGTTGGAGGTGATTTGTCAGATGGAGATGTACACAGACCCAAAGGCCCTTTGCGCTAGTGGGCCCACTTACTTTGTCTCACGCCATCCCACCCCTGCGTTGTTTCCCGTCCCAGGTGTTGGTACCTCAAGGGTTTGAGAACTGTAAGTGCCACCACACTACATATATAACTATTATAACTACCGTTGACAGTGGTGTTTGAGATACTGTTGCCGCAACCCTAATTGCGAGGGAGTTTTCCTTTTTCTGGGCATCAATTATCATCCAGTTGTTGGTCCTTTGATGTGACTTGCAAATGTTGGGGCCATGTGACAGAACTAGGAGGAGCAAGATTTCAAGCTGTTGAAGCCTTTGGAACGAAGGCGCGGAGTTTTCGTCGGACCAGGCAGAGATTGCACGGCAGCAGCTCACAAAAAGCCAAGTGGCAGTCATCAATGGTCTCCTCGAGGATCCTGGGAACATGAAGACGAATATAGAGGTGTCCGATTCACTTTTCCTTATTTGCAGCTTCACACGTGGTTGATGGCACTTTTGCAAAGCCAAACGCCTGCAGCTGGTTCCAAACGCCATGCGGCTTGTGAGCGTCATGCTTGTGATCGCGTCACTGCAGCAAAGGTGCTGTCAGCTAGCATATGTCCTGCCCATGCTTGTTTTTTCCCGAATGCGTAGCGAAGGGTTCTCGTTTAACTCTTGGGGGTCTGGGGGTAGAGTCTTGTTCGCGATCCGTTGCTTCTATGTTCGCAACCGTCCGCAACCGTCCGCAACCGTCCGCAACCGTCCGCAACCGTCCGCAACCGT